GTCTAGAAGAGAAGTCTAGTCATGGGGGAGCAGATTGCTGAGGTGAACCAGGTAACCAGGTAGTTCCAGGCCGGCAGGGAGTCAGGAAGTAGGGGCAGGACTGAAGCCTTGTACTCCAAGCAGTGTCTGTAGCCTGTGTAGCATAAAAGCTGGACAGGAGAAGAGGAGGTGATCCACAGTCTGTGACTCTTCCCGGCAGTGAGGACAAGTTGGATCTTTATTGAATTATATGTTAATTATTGTGTATATAGGCGAGAATAATGATTCAACACAAGTTCATGATATCTGATTTCACTTCTACAAAATAAAGGTATTGTTTACGATGATAAAAGTTGGCGTTCTGTCAATTGTTGTTGTTGTTGTTGTTGTCGTGTCCAATGAAGATCCTCAGATGTCCCCATGCATCTCTATCACAGCAGCAGCAATGTCCACTATCTTGGGTGTGTAAAGCTGCTGTGCTCTGGGTCTATATCAATTTTCTGCAAGGCTGCAGCCATTGCTTTGCATGAGAATATGTGAGTAAGTGTTAGTTCCACACCAGGACAATTGTTGCATGTCCTATAGGTTTTCGTGCCATCTGGATGTATTGTCATTCCTTTATAGTGTTTTGTTCTAAGTCTTGATATAGTTTTTGTCAGTTTTCTCTCAGAGTTTATTTCACATATTTGATCTTTTCTTATTTTTTTGTTTAATTATCTTGTATTTTGTCAAAATATTGGTAATAAAATTTGAAACAAATTACAAGAAAAGAAATCGCCAGACAACATCTTGAAGAAAGAATCAAAGTTAACGGGGATGTGTTTCTTTTATCTGTGCTGTATAATCGGCAAGCTTTCGGACTTTGACGTCCTTCAACAGTCATAATAGTCTGTAGAAGGACGTCAAAGTCCGAAAGATTGCCGATTATACAGCATAAATTAAAGAAAATCGTTGCCGTAAACTGTTATTCCTTCTTCAATATTTGAAACACCAACTCATTGAATAAATAATACAAATTGTACTGGCATCAAGTATTTAATTAAGAACAACGCATCTCTTTTATATAACGGCATTTATATTTCTATTTACTCCTGTAGAAGGGCAGAGATGCCAGAAATCTTGAGAATACGTTTAATAAAAATAAAATAAACTCATTTCCAGAAACCTGTGGCATTTGTTTGATAGCTCTTCTTCGATTTACAAATTGTACTGACAATCAAGTATATAATTAAGAACAACGCATCTCTTTTATATAACGGCGTTTATATTTCTATTTACTCCTGTAGAAGGGCAGAGATGCCAGAAATCTTTAGTATACGTTTAATAAAAATAAAATAAACTTATTTCCAGAAACCTGTAGCATTTGTTTGATAGCTCTTCTTCGATTTACAAATTGTACTGGCATCAAGTATATAATTAAGAACAACGCATCTCTTTTGACCAATATTTTGGATTTTTTTTTTAAATCAACGATCAGTTGATTTTTATTCCGATAGATGGCGTATGACATCGGCAACTTTCAGTTTCGACAGAAAATGTTGAGATTTTTCCATTGAAGAGTGAATGGTATAAAAGGTTAGCAGGTGTTCGGAGGAAGCAGATATTCACACCAAGTTAATTATAGATCTAGGGTAATTAATTACTGAGCTATAATTGATGAGTAAGTCCTTGCATGATGACGAGGCATGGGGCCACTGACCTGAAGCCTAGGTTTACACAAGTTGTTTAGGTTTCACTTTCATTTATACACATTGTGTTCCAATCTATGTACGTATTTTATTTAAATCTGTATGTTTATTCTCCCCCTTCTTATCTATATTTATACTTGATCATATCTTCATTTGAAGAATAAAACTATACCTTTTTTCTGTTTATAACTTTCATTCGTCTGCCTCTGTTATAATTCGAAACAATCATATAGATATCAATTCATAATTGAAGAATATACTTTAAAAATGTATGTATCATATTTACATAGGTTCATCTTTTAAAATATTATATAATCTCTCTCTAATGCCTGGTTTATATATTTTAGTTAGCTGAAGAAAGGCTTGCCCGAGAGCTTCTTTTGATCAGGTCAATAATGTTGATAATGATTATATGATAATGTTGAAAATAATGATTGCGATTATATGATTTTTGTAATATACTGTAGAGTCTATACAATGAGAGACCATAGCTAAAATATTGGCCAAATCAGTCTCTCCTGGAGGTAGCCTCTTATTAGAGACTTTGTCATGTCATATACAAGGACACCTATGGATCGTGACATTGAGTGTTCCTTATGGCTCACTGCCATCTATCGGAAAATATATCAACTCTCTGTTGTTTTTTATGTTTTATATATAGGAAGAGAGCTATCTCAGATAGTAATATATATTAACATATAGGCTATTCAAAGCATATGCAAATATTTGTCCAAATCAAACTAATTTGCATATGTTGAAGTTCAAAAATGATATGATGCTATATTTTACTATTAATACTAACACTGCTGACATTTAAAAAAAGATTATTCCTAATAAAGATAGTACAGGCCATGATAATCATGGTGGGTAGAAGTTAGCGACCGCTTTTACTGTAAGTGCACCACATGTCTACACATATGAAAAGCAGTTTGACTTTGCACTTACAAATGTGCCAGAGCCCCGTTTGGTTACTTGTACTCTCTGGTGGGGTTGGACTTTTACAAGAATCGGGAACCATTGGAGCATTTTTTTAATAAGAAAAAAGTCTCCAATGTAGGATTCGAACTCACATCCCGGGTCGGTTGAAAACCAACGGTTTAGACCATCCTTCTACCGACCACCCACATTTTGATGGGAGGAAATTGATCTATATAAGCAAAAGTCGCACCTCCTATCAAAATATAGTGTCTAGTTTTGACGTTTATTTTGACGGGAGAGACGACATTTGCTTTTAAAAATATTGTAACAATGTATTTATTAATTTTATTATTTTTATTAACAGAGTGGTCATTTTTATGTTTATATTTTGCTACTCTGTAAATTTTCCTCGTGGCTTATCTTTTGTTTACCATTTATAGTTTGTTCTTGTCTGAAATAAACTGCTGTGTAATCCCGAGATTTGTCTTCCCTAATTTTTCACGTGGCAATATTAATCCCTATTATATAAAAGTCAGTGTATGTATGAAAATTCGAAACTATTTTAGACGCGAAAGATTCTTTTTGAAATTAAACAATTTCTACTGCCCTTACTGCCCTTAATTTCAAAAATAATCTTACACGTCTGAAATAGTTTCGAATTTTCATAACAGATGGCGCGCTAGTACATGATAATGTATGTATGTATGTATGTTTGTCGGCCATACACGTCCACAATACGTAACTAATCTGACTGAAATTTTAACAGTAAATAGAGTTGAATCTGGAAAAAACTTAATGTTGAAATTTCATGTCTCTATCCCGAATATTAGTTGAGTTATTTGCAAATTTGCGTTGCAAATTTGCCCTTACGCTCGTGAGCAGCGCCTCTAGCATGAAGATGGGATATAATATCAGCTGACCTAATGTATATGTAAAGTTTGGAGCGGGACGTTTCACAAGAGTGATATTCACGGCGCCAATTTATAATTGTAACGAATATTATTTGGAAATCAAAATAATATAATTTTCAAATATCGTTGTGAAAATTTATTTTTCATTTTTTTATTTTAAAAACACACAAAGTTTGGAGCGGGACGTTTCAGAAGAGTGATATCCACGACGCTAATTTATATTTGTAACGAATAGTATTTGAATAAAAAGATTTAATCGGGTAAAATCTGGGCGTTACCCGGGTCATTCGGCTAGTAATATTTTAATTAACATTTTGGGGGTCAAACAATATTCGATGAACAAACATTCACTCGTGGAAAACTCGAGCGAACCTGGTTCATTCAGATATTATTTAAATATGGTAATAAGATAAAGTTCATAGGAGAATAGTTTAAAGTTGAAAACTTACAAATAATAGGTCAGTTTGATCGATTTTTTTAAATTTCCAAATATAAACGGAGATAAAGAAGTCGATCGAACTCACAAACAATTATTAAAATAGCAGATGATATCGATCTTTCTCTGAAAAATCGATTTTCTAGAAATTTCTCTGAACCTCTATGATAATGACAGTTGGAGGGAAAAAGTTTAGGAAAACTTTTCAAATGCCTGGGAAAATAGCAGGGTAGCCAAATTGAAATGGCAATGTAAATTGTTTAGCGTGCCATGGCACGTCTGCGGCACAATGCCCTGAGAGGTTCATTACTCTGTGATAATTAACCCTCTGTGAAAAAGAAAAAAAGCCAATTGACCGCGGACCACGCTACCGGGCTTTGTCCCTTCTTTGTTCTATAACTAGAGAGATTTTTAATCTCATTTTTACTTTTGAACATTGACCTCATCCTGAAAACATTTTAAGTTTTCCAAAATGGAAAATTATTTTTAGTTTTTTTTTTTTCTAATAAACTAAATAGATGTAATAGTCTTCCTGCGTCTCTATGTGGGGTTTATTTTAGAAAAAAACATCATTGAATAAATTACAATATAAGATTGCGGGAGAATGGTGTATACACTAAAAGAGGCATCTCTCCCTTTATTTATACATTAGAACGATGCATTACGTTTATCCTTCTAGCTTTTTTTGCTTATCCCTAGTACACGTGGTACAGGCCATGTAATAATGTTGGATAGAAGTAGGCAAAAGCTTTTACAGTAAGTGCACCACATGTCTACACATGTGAAAAGCACAGTTCTACTGTACAACTGATTCTATACTGTTCTACTGTATTTTCTGATGATGCAAATAAGAGTTAAAAGATAGCATTAGCCATCTATCGGTTGTTGAAATAAATTTTTACATTATAGAACTACGTTTGACAAGTTTTACCGCAAATATTTCTTTTTTTTCAAAAGACCGAAAAATCGTAATTTATTTTAAGCAGAAATAAGGACCATTCCTATACTTAGGGATGAAGTATAAAAGAATGAATTGTGAAGTGTAATGATGAACGGAAAAATAAAAGTTTCCAGGGATGGGAATCGAAACCACAATTTTCCGTTTACCAGACAGATGCCATGTCCACTAGGCTACACTGAACATATTTTTTTTTTCGTTCGTAAATCCCTATATATATAAAAGTTAGTGTATGTATGTTTGTCGGCTATACACGTCCACAATACATAACTAATCAGCAAACATTCATTCGAGCAGAAGACACAAAGCCATATCATCTCTCTATAAAAATATCTCTTCTCAGACACAAAGTTTGGAGCGGGACGTTTCACAAGAGTGACATCCACGGCGCCAATTTATAATTATAACGAATAGTATTTGAATAAAAACATTTAATCGGGTAAAACCCGGGCGTTGCCCGGGTAATTCGGCTAGTATTATATAAAGTTAATTTATAATACAATATAATACCGCTTCTTATTATAGAACGACGTTTGAAAAGTTTTACCGCAAATGTTTCTTTTTACAGAACGAAAAATCTTAACATTATTCTGAAGAAAGCCAGTATTTGTCCATAGGACAATTGACAGGCGTTCCATAAAACCTTCTAGCTAGGGCTTATAGAGATACTTGACAATATATACACACAGAATTAAACAAACAATTTTAAATAAAAATGATTTTAAACTTTATTGTAAAACTCTATTCATATTCATAACCCGTCTTTTCTTAGAAACACACTGAATATTTTATATACCCTTTGGGATTTAATTTTTTCTAACACACAGAATATAGAAATATGATGCTAATAAAATAACATATTTATATCATGTAATTCTTGAAAAAAAAAAGGATATCCAGTGATTCCAAAAAGAATGTTTTATTCAGTATGTATATATTTTACTATTTATAAATTAAAAGTATTTCATTTGAAACTTAATTTTAAATCAAATCAAATGAAATAAATGATAGTAATATTTTAAAAAGAATATATAGAGTATAATATGATAATTTTACACGGATTTTCACATCTTTAATTTTACAAAAATGAACGCCCTCTTTTATAGAAATTTGAAAACAAAGCGACTATTAATAAGATAAATAATCTTTTAATAACTTTTATTTTTGGAGTGTACAGGGGCTCTGATACATTTGTAAGTTCAAAAGTCAAACTACTTTTCACATGTGTAGACATGTGAAGCACTTACAGTAAAAGCAGTTGCCAACTACTACCCACCATGAATATAATAGCCTGTACCACGTGTACTAGGGATAATAATTTTAAAAATGTATTTTATAAACGATAATTGAGGTACAGTAGAACCTTTCTGTAAAAGACAACACCTAATTGCACAGTCAAAGTGTCCTTTAGGGAGAGGTGTCCTCTTACCAGAGTGTTGATAAATAATAAAAATGGTAATATTGAGAATGAAAACTGTCCTTTGAGAGAGGTGTCTGCTAAAGGGAGGTTCTACTGTATATACTGATGATACATACAAGAGTTAAAATATAACCACAGCCATCTATCGGTTGTTAAAATACATCTCAACATTATAGAACGACGTTTGACAAGTTTTACCGCAAATGTTTTTTTTTTTTGCAGAACGAAAATTCATAATTTATTTTAAGGAGAAATAAGAACCATTCTTATTCTTAGGGATGAATTATGAAAGTATAAATTGTGAAGAGTAATGATGTGGTTCATAAAAGTGTCAAGGAATGGGAATCGAAACCAACAGTGTTCCGCTTACCGGGCAGATGCCATGTCCACTAGGCTACCCTGGACCTTTTTTTTTTTTTTCGTTCGTAAATCCCTATATATATAAAAGTTAGTGTATGTATGTTTGTCGGCTATACACGTCTACAATACGCAACTAATCAGCAAACATTCATTCGAGCAGAAGACACAAAGCCATATCATCTCTCTATAAAAATATCTCATCTCAGACACAAAGTTTGGAGCGGGACGTTTCACAAGAGTGCCATCCACGGGGCCAATTTATAATTATAACGAATAGTATTTGAATAGAAACATTTAATCGGGTAAAACCCGGGCGTTGCCCGAGTCATTCGGCTAGTATTATATAAAGTTAATTTATAATACAATATAATGCCGCTTATTATTATAGAACGACGTTTGACAAGTTTTAACGTAAATGTTTCTTTTTACAGAACGGAAAATCTTAACATTATTCTGAAGTAAGTCAGTATTTGTCCATAGGACAATTGACAGGCGTTCCATAGAACCTGCTAGCAAGAGCTTGTAAAGTTAATTGACAATATATACACAGAATTAAACAAACAATTTTAAATTAAAATGATTTTGAACTCTATTGTAAAACTCTATTAATATTCATAACTCGTCTTTTCTTATAAAAACACTGAGTATTTTATATACCCTTTGGCATTCAAATTTTTCAAACACACAGAATATAGAAATATGATGTTGATAAAATAACATATTTTTATCATGTAATTCTTGAAAAAAAAAACAAAAAAAAAAAATAGAAGTCAAAAGTCCAAAAATATATATATTTTTTAGAATGTATGTATTTTTTTTTACGATTTATAAATTATGAGTATTTCATTTGAAACCTAATTTTAAATAAAATCAAATGAAATAAATCATAGTAATATTATAATAAATAATATAGAGAGTATAATATGATAATTTAACACGGATTTTCACATCTTTAATTTTATAAAAATGAACGCCCTCTTTTATAGAAAGTTGAAAACAAAAGCGACAATTAATAAGATGAATTATCTTTTTATAACTTTTATTTTTGGAGTATACACGGGTCTCTGATACATTTATAAGTGCAAAGGTCAAACTGCTTTTCATATGTGTAGACATGTGGTACACTTACAGTAAAAGCAGTCGCCAACTTCTACTCACCATGATTATCAGGGCCTGTACCACGTGTACTAGGGATAATAATTTTAAAAATGTATTTTATAAACGATAATTGAGGTACAGTAGAACCTTCCTGTAAAGGACAACATTTAATTGCGGAGCCAAGGTGTCCTTTAGGGAGAGGTGTCCACTTACCAGAGAGTTGATAAATAATAAAAATGGTAATTTTGCAAATGAAAACTGTCCTTTGAGAGAGGTGTCCGTTAAAGGGAGGTTCTACTGTATATTCTCATGATACAAATAAGAGTTAAAAGATAACCACAGCCATCTATCGGTTGTTAGAATACATCTCAACATTATAGAACGACGTTTGATAAGTTTTACCGCAAATGTTTCTATTCTTCTTTACAGAAAAAATTCGCAATTTATTACAAGGATAAATATCGACTATTCATATCCTTAAGGATTAAGTATGAAAGAATGATTTGTGAAGAGTAATGATGTTGTTCATGAAAGTGTCCAGGGATGGGAATCGAACCCAACAGTTTTCCGCTTACCGGGCAGATGCCATGTCCACTAGGCTACCCTGGACATATTTTTTTTCCCTTAGTAAATCCTTATAAATATAAAAGTTTATGTATGTATGTTTGTCGGCTATGCACGTCTACAATACGTAACTAATCAGAAAAACATTCATTCGAATAGAAGACACAAAGCCAGATCATCTCTCTAAAAAAATATCGCTTCTCAGACATAAAGTTTGGAGCGGGACGTTTCACATGAGTGACATCCACGGCGCCAATTTATAATTGTAACGAATAGTATTTGAATAAAAACATTAAATCGGTTAAAACCATGGTGTTGCCCGGGTCATTCGGCTAGTATTATATAAAGTTAATTTATAATGCCGCTTATTATTATAGAACGACGTTTGACAAGTTTTACCCCAAATGTTTCTTTTTACAGAACGAAAAATCTTAACATTATTCTGAAGAAAGCCAGTATTTGTCCATAGGACAATTGACAGGCATTCCATAGAACCTTCTAGCTAGGGCTTATAGAGATACTTGACAATATATACACAGAATTAAACAAACAATTTTAAATAAAAATTATTTTGAACTTTATTGTAAAATCTCTCTCTCTCTCTCTCTATTAATATTCATAACCCTTCTTATAAACACACTGAATATTTTATATACCCTTTGGTATTCAAATTTTTAAAACACACAGAATATAGAAATATGATGTTAATGAAATAACATATTTTTATCATGTAATTCTTGAAAAAAAAAAAAGAATGGAGTCTTCGAATCGAAAAAAAAACTTTTTTTTTCATTCAAAATGTATGTATTTTCGATTTATAAATTATAAGTATTTCATTTGAAACTTAATTTTTTAAAAAATCAAATGAAAAAAAATAATCGTAATATTATAATAAATAATATAGAGAGTATAATATGATAATTTAACACGGATTTTCACATCTTTAATTTTACAAAAATGAACGCCCTCTTTTATAGAAAATTGAAAACAAAGCGACAATTGATATGATAAATGATCTTTTTATATTTTTATTTTTTAGTGTACACGGGGCTCTGATAAATTTGCATGTGCAAAAGTCAAACTGCTTTTCACATGTGTAGACATGTGATGCACTTACAGTAAAAGCAGTTGCCAACTACTACCCATCAATATTATTATGGCCTGTATCACGTGTCTAAGGATAATAAAAAAATATATAAAAAATATGGGACCTACCTACACTCATCGACAAAACTTAAGGAAGTAAAAAGTCTTTGATATCGCCAGTCCTTTTTTTTTTAAGGTGACAGAAGCAATTTTGTTCACACTTGGTTATCGCGTATGTCTTCAATAAAGGTCACTGTGTATCAAGTATCTTTCTGAGGTAATGTCTGAATTCTTATATACATAGTAAATGGTGAAAAAATAGTACAAATGTAACATTGTACTGGGATAAGGTGCATAAATTAAGAAAAAGGCATCTCCTTATCGTGCAACTGAAAGTTGCTGATGGCTGGCGCCATCTATATGTTGATATTTATTCCGAAAGATGGCGCCAGCCATCAGCAACTTTCAGTTGCACGATAAGGAGATGCCTTTTTCTTAATAGTAAAAGGTATAACTTAAGTTTCCATAACCGTACATCATCTTCTTGTTTCACTTGTGTGACAATTCTTGCCCCTGCTTCGAACTCCTGCACAACCTAGTTGTCGCCTCACTGGACGAAATATATCCTTGTTTGGCCCTCTCTCATCTGAACCTC